TCTCCGACTCAGAGCACGCACTCTAGGGGTTCTGAATGTGCGCAAACCCGGAGCATGTGCTCTAAGGGTTGCGTTTAAAAAACATGGCTTAAAAGCTTCTGCAATGTTGAGGTATTGCAATCACACAACCAGCACTCTAGTTCCTCAGCGGCCACCACCACACCAAGCTCTGAGGAAACTGTGAGCGAAAACACCCACATTCACAAACCCGGAGCATGCGCTCTAGGGGTTGTGAATAAAAAAACCAAAAACTGACAAACCATTCTCCCAAAACCATAAGCTTGTCCCAGCTCCCCCATATTCTAGTAGTTGGGAAGGGGTTGAGGCTTCCCTCAGAATAGTGGTGGAGGATGTATCCTCGGGTAGTCTAAAAGAATGGGATTCTAGAAAGAAATGGGAAAAATATTATGCCTGGTTCAGAGCCATGATGAAAAACATAAGGGTTGGAAAGGGTGGCTCTGAGCAGGCAGGACTAGTTGTGAAAAGGGGCCTGGGTAAAAGGGGCACCCTCCAGGGTACACATCAGCTCATGTGTAAACAAAAGGGGGGACAGCGCTTGGGGGATAAACAGATGGCTGCCAAAAAGTTCCAGGCCCGGGTTGTTGTAAAAATTTTTAAAAGGGCTAAAGAGGTAATGAGGAAAAAAAACAAAAACAAAAAGAGATGCCCCCTACTGGAGGCTCTCAAACTGGCTTGTCTGAAAATGGGAAGGCGGAATCAGACTCTGGTTTAGCAAATTCCCCAGAGGGCTCTCTAGACGGGTCCCGTTCTACTTCCAATGACCCTCATGGAGGTGTCTCAGAGTCTGACTCTCAAATAGCATCTGATGTAGAAGATGCCGCTAATGATCCCGTAGAGGAACCCCCAAGTAACCCCGAAAATGCCGAGGTGTATATGGAGAGAGTGAGAAGTTGGCAACGTGAAGTATCCAGATTTGGGGGGTCGGTGTATTGTGAGGAATTTCGTTTTGTTAATCTTGAGCAAATAAATTCAGCTCAGCAGGTTGTTGAAGCCATACACCGTGGAATACAGTTAGTGCTCGATGACATTAATGGTAGGGTAGGCCCTGATGATTATGTTCAGTTACGTTTAGAGAGCCGTAATTTAACTAACTCTTTGTTTTCGGTCAAAAGAACTAGGGATGAGCTGTCTGCTGAGGATTTCTTAAATCAGACCTCAAAACTGCTACAGAGCAATAGAGAGTTGCATCTCGATGGGATGTTGTGCCTTGTTGTGACGGTTGTAAAAAATAAGGGTGGGGGCGCTCGTAGAGTTTTAAATACTATCCTTAATAGTCAAATTATGCATAAAAAGAGACAGTGTTTAGTAGACCTGACTTACACCGGTACCAGTTTGTGTTTTGCGGGTGGGCTCTTGGCCGTCATGTCCGATCGTAAACCTACGGACGCGGAATTGTTAG